ATAAAATAAAGCCACGAAATCATTAATTAACAAGATTCCCAGGTGATTCTAATGTGCAGCCAAGGTTGAGAACCGCTGCCCTAGACGTTCAGCTCTGGGGCCAACATTCACTTCAGCACCTCGTCTGTGTCAGACACCGGGTTTCAAAAACAGTTTCCATTAAAAGAATAACGTGGTTAATCTGTTACCTATCAGAATCTTAACAAACCCATTTTTACAGCGAGGCAGATTGCCTACATTCAAAGTCCAAGCATTTAACTGACTACCATGACTCTCGACTGCCTGGCCTCTCCACTGTTCTGACGGGCACTGGGGACATCTGGGTGGATGAGTCATATTATAGTAAATAACCGTGATTGCGGCGTATAAAATACACCATGGGGAACAGCCACAATAAAAATAACGACATCTAACGTGCCCCAGGCGCTTATCGAGTGCCACACAGAACTTTCTGTTATTATTCCCGTTTTACAGATGGGGAAACTGAGGCCAAAACTTGCCGAGTAACGTGTCCTAGGCAAGGCGAGGACACCAAACCCAACTGTAGAGCCCACGCTACTGTGAACTGCTTCGCCGCCTTACTCCTCTCGCAGGGAAGTTAGGTCGCGGCCAGCGAGGTTCCAGGACCCGACTCCCCCCGCGGGCACCCGCGTCTCCATAGCGCCCGAGGAAGCCTTTCCGCCCCGACTGTGCGGACCTTATTTTGGTCCCGAAACCGACTGTGGCCCCGATGGGTCCGGCTGGAGGTGCGCGCAACCACACCAAAGGTTCCCCCGGCGGAAGGTTCCGTAGCCCGAAGCCTCCCCTCCCCGAGTACCTTCGGGAAACGCGTCCAGAGTCCTGCCCCGGGCTCTGTGGAAAACACCCCCCGCCTCCGCTGCGGACATGGCGAGCGAGTTCCTGGTCCCACCTGAGTGCACTGCGTGGGAGGGAGCGGCGCGACTCCTCACCGCCCAACTGCCGGCTGGGCCAGGCCCGCTGGGGGCGGAGCCTTCTGCTCGGGGCGGGGCGGGGCGGGGCGGGGCGGGGCGGCGGGCGGCTCGCGGGCCTGGACCGCTCGGGGCGCCGCTAGTGCTGCCTGGGCGGGCAGAAGCTTGAGCGGTCCCTCTGGGGTCGACTGGGGCGCCTGACGAGCGGAGGCCCCCAGGCTGGGGCCCAAGTGCGGAGAGGGGTGTGTTTGGGCTCAGGCTGGGAGCCTGCAGGTAGGGTTGTCAGGTTTCACGAATAAAAATACGGAATGCCCAGAGAGGCGACGATAAGCTTGTCCCATGCACCATTTGGCAGACAGCCCTCTAAGCAGCTGGAATCCATAACAATCAATCACCAGGCGTCTTCGGCTTCCCTGTCATCATCGCGTCCCGTTATTATCAGCATCGCTCACTCCACATCAGACACTGCGCTAAGCACGTGGGGAGAGCTCACTTCATCCACACAGCAGCCGTAGGCGATGGTGCTGCAGCATTTCCCTCATGTGTCAGAAGGGGAAACTGATGCTCAGAACGGCGAGGCCGTTTGCACAAGCGGACAGGCATCTGGAAAAGTAGCAAAGCTGCATCTGACCCAAAGGAGGGTCTGCCCAGCAAACACCATTGAACTGACCTGCACAAGCCAGTGTTGGTCAAACTTGTTCAAATACAAATTCCAGGGTGGACCTCGTGAAGCGGAATCTTCAGGAGAAGAAGGGTCTGTTTTTAACTCCCCAAAGAGTTTTCAGCTTCTGCTAAGTTTGAGGAATTCTCTTCTTACCTGGCTGCCTGCTTCTGAAGCACTGTTTGGGTGGCTAAAATGACTAGGAAGACTGTCCTCCAATCTTAGGCAAGAGGAAGTCATAGTGGTTAGGGGTTCAGAGGAGTCACCCCAAGATGTGCCTCTGTGGTATGTCCTTCATTTCAAATGCATAAGAGACACTGCAAAAACGGTTATTCTCTAGAGTATTTGAGCTCTTGCTCTCTGGCATATGTCATCTAAAAATTCTCTACAGGTTTGTTCCTTACCTCCACACTCCCCCACATTAAGAATATTAAGTGCCTAGGAGTTCTGGAGTCAGGCTGCCTGTTACCACTTGCTGGCACTTTGATCTTGAAAATTACTTAGTTTCTAAAGTTACTTAATTTCTAATCTCCCAGTATAAGGGCTGCTGGGAGGCTTAAATGGCTTGGTGCATCAAAGTGCTTAAATACAATAGTTCTAATAGCAAATATACTCCACGAATATTAGCCATTATCATTGGCATTATTGTTAATCACTATATCCCTATTCCCTGGGTATGGCCTGGCCCAGTGGAGGATTCTTAGGAAATGTTTAAGGAGGAAATGAATACTGTGAATGAGAATCAAAAGTCCTAATGGTGGCCTCCAGGCCCTGCAAAATCCAGCCCATTCCTACCTCTCACCCATTAACTTTGCAGCCACATGTCCACTTTCAGTTCCTTAAACATGCAAATCTATTTGCCCCTTTGCCTGTGTGGTTCCTTTTGCTTAGACTGTATCTGCTCATTTGAACATCAGTGCCTCTGCTTAAATCACACTTGCATGGAAAGGTCTTACCTAAACACTTGCATACTCTTCTGATCTAAACTGTCTCCCTCCTTCTTTTCATAGCACTCTGCTCTTGTCCTTCAGCCCTTTGCACCGTTGGTAATGATATGTATGGATGAAAAGGGGGTTCTACGGAAGTAATCTCACAGGGTGATCTGATCATACATTCCTGACTGGATAGGTCATGATGGGTAGTCATGCCCACGCATATAATTTCTTTTTTTCAAAAATGCTTTTATTGATTTTCAGAGAGAGAGAAAGGAGAGGGGGAGATGGACACATCAATGAGAGAGAAACATCAACATTGATCTGTTGCCTCCTGCATGCCCCCTGGCTGGAGATTAAGTCCGAAACCCGGGCACCTGCCCTGACCAGGAATCGAGGTTGCTGGACCCAGTGGTGCACAAAGTGTACCACTTGGTGCATGTGTTGATGCTCAACCACTGAGCCACACCTGCTGAGCTATAATTCCTTTAGTAAAAGGTTTGAAGCCAGCCCTGTCCATTGTTCTTGTGCATCTAGGTTAACACACCTTTGAAGACCAGACATATCCCTCAAAGGGGGGCCAATAACCCTCAAGAGAGCACATAATCTTGTGCCTTGCTTTCTCCCACCTCCAGGTAATCTTCCTTAGTTCCTCCTTAAATTCAAATGCATAAAAGAAACTGCCAAGCTGTTATTCTCTGGAGCATTTGAGATCTTGCTCCCCAACATATGTCATCAGTTTGGGCTCAAATAAACTCTTATAGCCCTAGCTGGTTTGGCTCAGTGAGTAGAGCGTCTGCCTGCGGACTGAAGAGTCCCCGGTTCCATTCCAGTCAAGGGCACGTGCCCGGTTTCGGGCTCAGTCCCCAGTGGGGGTGTGCAGGAGCAGCCAATCAATGATTCTCTCTCATCATTGATGTTTCTCTCTCTCCCTCTCCCTTCATTTCTGAAATCAATAAAAATATATTTTAAAAAATAATAATAATAAAATAAACTCATAAAATTTTTCTACAGGTTTGAACATTTTGTGTGTAAGAGTAATAATGGCTGCAACTACACTTTGTGCACCACTGGGTCCAGCAACCTCTGAACAACATTTGCCTGCCCTATTCTCCCCTCGTCACTGTACAGATCAGTGGTGCCACTCTCTGACCATGGTCTTTCAGCCCATAGACCAGTGATGGCGAACCTATGACACGCGTGTCAGAGGTGACACACGAACTCATTTTTTTGGTTGATTTTTCTTTGTTAAATGGTATTTAAATATATAAAATAAATATCAAAAATATAAGTCTTTGTTTTACTATGGTTGCAAATATCAAAAAAATTTCTATATGTGACACGGCACCAGAGTTAAGTTAGGGTTTTTCAAAATGCTGACACGCCGAGCTCAAAAGGTTCGCCATGACTGCCATAGACTCTTCTTTTCAGCTGTCTGCCTGGAAGCTTCGAGGAGGCAGACAGGCAGCATGAAAAGAGCATATTCCTGAACATCAGGCCCAGCTGCTCCATCCACTTCCCAGCTGTGTGACCTTGGGCAAGTCACTTAATCTTTCTGAGCTTCATCCCAAATGAACTCGCATGGTTTTTATGAGGAGTAAATGAAGCTGGAGGCAGAGTTTCTGGAGCATACTAAGTGCTTGATACATTTTTGCTGTGGTTGATATTGTTAATATTGTTATTGTTGTTGTTGAAATACCATTCAAACTCATTCTTTTCTGGTCAAAATTCTACTCTTCTTTCAAGATTCTGTTCACCTGTTATATCAGCCAGTATCATTTCATTGCAATGAACTAAAAAGCAGTTCAAATTGGCTTAATTGGGGGTGGGGGGTGGGGGGGAGAGGAGGGATCCATAGGCATGTATATATTAAAACCCCAAAGCAGCTTCTTTTGAGGTTTGACCCAACCTCTCTGCCTTTTGTAACTTTGGCTTCCTCTTCAATCTCCACAGAGGACTCCCTCTCATCACTTGGCATCTCCAGGCTTCCCATTCACAGGAGGAGAGCGGCTGCAGCAGTTCTAGACCACACATCCTCCTGAGACACCTAGCAGGAAGACGAAGGAAGTCACTGTTTCTCACTCGCCCCAGCAAACATTCCCTTGCATCACGACAGTGCCAGTTTGGATACGGGCTGCTCTCTGAGGCAAGGTCAAAGGGAAAATGGCGTGATTCTATCTGCTAATGTCTAGGACACTGATGGCGAACCTTTTGAGTTCGGCGTGTCAGCATTTTGAAAAACCCTAACTTAACTCTGGTGCCGTGTCACATATAGAAATTTTTTGATCTTTGCAACCATAGTAAAACAAAGACTTATATTTTTGATATTTATTTTATATATTTAAATTCCATTTAACAAAGAAAAATCAACCAAAAAAATGAGTTCGCGTGTCACCTCTGACACACGTGTTATAGGTTCACCATCACTGGTCTAGGGCCACCCTTGGAGGAGTGCTATCCATCCCACCCTTACTGCATGCTTGAGGATCAAATGCATAGATATTTTAAAATGGGATCAGGATACCATTGTCCTGAAAAGGGGAAATTGGCTCATTTAAAAAAAAATTAGGTGTTGGTGCTAAGGATTAACAATGGACACCCAGAAGGACGTCCAACCCCCAAAGCAGCAGCCAAGGGTATATATCTGTGGAGAATGTCAGGCAGAAAATGAAATAAAATCCAGGGATCCAATCAGGTGCAGAGAATGTGGATACAGAATAATGTACAAGAAAAGGACTAAAAGATTGGTGGTTTTTGAGGCTCGATGAAACAATTCAGAAGAATATCTTTGTTTGCATTTGTATTTGCTGTTATTGTATAGTTGTTGATGAGTATACTTATCTTTATGAATACAACTATATACACATGATTTCATTTTAAAAAACCATATTGTATTTAGGTGTCTATTATAAAGATTGTTTTTTGTTAAAAAAAATTAAAGAGCCAACAAATAATCCACTACATTGCCCATGTACAAGTGAGCATTTGAGGGCAGGGAGAGCATACCAGCTAGTGACTATCATGCTCCCTCCCCCATCCTTTAAAAACTGACCTTTTTTGTTCTGTTTTGTTTTTTAGTAATCCTCAGAGGAGGCTATTTTTCCATTGATTTTTAGAGAGAGTGGAAGGGAGGGGAGAGACAGGGAGAGAGAAACATCTATGTGAGAGAGACACATCAATTAGTTGCCTCCTGCATGTGCCCCGACCAGGGCCAAGGATCAAGCCTGTAACCAAGGTATGTGCCCTTGACTGAAATCAAACGCAGGACCCTTCAGTCTGCAGGCCGACACTCTATCCACGGAGCCAATCCAGCGAGGGCGAAAAAACTGCCCTTTTTCTTTCATCCCACCCCTTGTAACAGCTAATCCAAGCGTGTTGTTATTTAGAGGCCCAGGTATATTATTAAGAACAGCAGTTGCTATACTGGGCTGTATTATAGCCTCACGCCAGGAAGCAA